CTATTGGGACAAAAAGTTGTTTTCGCGTTGTAAACGCCAAATTGAGTTTTTAATCAAAGTGTTTTCTGTTCAGTCTCTTGTACTCAAGGCCAACTTTTTTAATATCATACGAAAGCCTTCATTGTAATGAACAACTTCATATATATGGTGCTCGAAAACATAGAAAATGGGTAACGAAAAAGGTCAAACAAATATATCTGAATACAAAAATTGTGACCGAAGTTGTGGAAGAGTTTCCTGATGCCTTTTGTTCTAAGATTTTTGTGACCTTCAGAAAACATTCCCGATCAAATACTTTTATATATTTTTGTACTAGTCACTTTGCTCTTTCTAACAAAAAAAGGGTGTCAGATACAAATGCAGTACTGACATTTTTCGCTATAAATTGTGCTTAGGATAAACACAAAAATAGAATTCGGACGTCATATTTGATGCGTGGCAGAAGTTTACCGTGACATGATAACTAAATAGTTACCATTTTCTTATTGTTGTCTATTAAATCGATCGATTATGTTTCTATCGCGAAGAGCATTTGTTGTTTTTCCTGATGACACAATTTATCCTCCATCTGTTCTACTTATCTTCAATATACCTTTTGGGTCACTATCAAAATAATTTTTCTAGCTGACGTGTGTTGTATTTAGCATGAAATTCCATTAAAAAAAAAGAGTTTCCTCCATTGAATAATAAGAAAAAATCTCATTGTTCTATCATAGTTGCAATGAATTATCTTAGCCGTGTAATTGGAAACGGAATACCATTGTTAAATAGAAGAGATGTTTGACCGGAAAAATATTTTTTCTATTATGAAAATGACATCTGCATAAATAAGAAAGACCCTGGAATTTGTGTTTATATCAGTTCTTGTCGCGTATTCCAGATATATATATATATTTGTGTATGCTTGACTAAGATATCATTATTTGTATATTACAAGATTATCCATTACAGTTTAAAGGTTTTACCGTTGACGATGTAAAAAAAGATCTTCTTAGTAGAATAATCGTGTTGGATGTTGGACTTTATATACTAAGAAAATTTATAGAAGATTCAAATTTCTCAAATCAAACACCAGATAAAAAAATGGTTAGGATCAGTGCATGTGATAAGACGTCGCATAAATGGAATAAAATGAAAACTCCAATCTGTAAGGAAATTCTATTCCATTTCAAAACGTTCCTTGCCCATGCGGAAGTTTTAGTATATAGCACGGCGTGTACACTCTGAATATCATGAAATAAACTGTGATCGCACATGAACATCATAAAATGGTGTGTAAGCACGTGTGAAAAATATTTTCCACGTATGACAACGCGTAAACTATTCACGAAAACTTTTTGCGTCATATTTTTCGCACATAATTAATAGTGAAAGACGTAAAATGGTGTGTGGACACGTGTGAAAAACAGTTCTCACTTGCCAACGCATGTGAAATTATAGAAATTTCACACGTGACCACGCTTTGGATGTTTGCAACTGTAAAACCCCAACGTCGCGAAACTTCGATAAAATTCCCCCATGGGTGAGATTTCCAATTTATTCTATGGTATTCTATGAAAATCGAGTTTTGTTCATACTTTTCAATCTTTTCATCTGACATTCCTTCAAGTTTGAGTGAACTAAAACGTGCAGCTCTATTTTATTTTATATAAGTAGCACATAATTTATGGTCGTATAAATCTGTCATATCCCATGGAATGGTGATGCGATCCCATTCCATATGCGCTGAAAAATAATTTTGTCCTATCTCATTCCATGAGAGGTCTGGTATGTGATTATCATCATTGACATTTCGAGTTCATTAACTGAAAGTCAGAAAAGTGAAGCTCTATATTACCTCAATGAGATAACTGCTGAAGAAGTGTGAGTACTAATCGAAGAGAACATTGGTGCCAGTAACCATGCTTTTAATGAACAAGAGAAATTCCTTTTTTGTTATTTTTGATTCTGGATTCAGAAAAAGATGTCTATGTAACGTAACGTAACAAAAATCGAAGGATATTTTTTCATAAAAAAGAGAAACGTGTATGTGTATACTATAGTTCCTTCAACAAGGAAAAAATGCCATCTAAAAAGAAAAATATTATCAACCATGAAAATACTGTACAATTGAGATTGTGTATAAACATAAAGTGGGTAAAAGGATAAATTGTACATATAGACGACATCCGTTGTCTCACATAGATACAATAGTCAGTTGACAAAAAAAAAAAAGAAAAATATTGGTCTCCGCTTGAAATATATTTTGTTGTTCCCATCCAAACCACCAACAGTTCAGGATATCATTATTCACCCTGAGAAAAAAAGCACTGCATGAAAACAGACGATACCGTTAAGAATAAAAGGCCATATCTTTACTGTGTGTATGGATATAGAGAGTAGTTATGATTATTATCGACAAAAATAGACGGAAGATTATTAAAGATACATAAAAAAAAAGAGAAGAAAAATTACTCCGTCATCGAATAAACGATTTTTTTTCTGTGTTGCTGCTAAAAGCAATAGCCCTTTCATGAATATCGAGTGGTAGAAAGAGATGCAGCAAACATCCTAAAATCGCTTCTACACACAAGGGTCTTATAGAACAAAGAGAGAGAGGAAAAAAGTAGACAACAAACGGCATAGGCTAATAACAACAATATACACACACACTTTGAAACTGAATGTGTGTACAGTTTAATAGTTAAATTTTTTAGTATCAGAAAAAAACAGGCGTAGTCGATTACAGAAAACTAATTTTTTACCAAAACACAAAAAGTAAGTGAAATTCTATTATGTTGGTCGAGAGATAGGAAATTAACTATATTGTAGTTTAAGTCCATTTGTCACAAGGTACGTAGTTGTGTCTGTCTTAAGAGAGTACGATATATGCTTCCTTCTAAATTATTTACCAGTGATCACTATCATACTCTTGGTATCTTGCTTTCTTCGTCCAGTATAAAAATAATCAGATAATAATAGCGGTATTGAATTAAGAGAGATAATCTGTGTCTGTGCTTATTGATTATGTTAACCTTTTTGTGATTGGTATGTATATTAACCTATAATTAGCTCAAGTATTTCTCTACCAAAATCAGACTATATCCTTGATCGGCTTTTCTAATGTAGGTGTCAAAAACTACGATCAATTAAACATAATATTCTATTCTAACACTGGAAAAATAAAAGCATCATAAATCAGCAGGCATCAGATTAATGTATGTGTTCAGTACGCTTGACTTCACTATATACAAATTATTTCATTACAATTCTGAGAATAACGGGTGGAACAGGAAAATCGACTTCTTAGTGTTTCTAGTTTTCTTCGCTCCCTTAGGCTCGATGTACAATTGTTTGATCTTGCCCGAGTTATAATGCCTTAACTGTTTCCAAACTTCAGTTTGAAAAGGATGATTTTAGACAAAATCGATAAAAGAAAAACTCTGTTTTATCCTGTTTTATCCACTTTGTTTTTGTTTTATCGCAAACAGAATAATTCTTCTATCACATTTGAACGGAAAAATTCAGTAACTCCAATTATTTTTCTGTATCAAGGTGAAAAATTCATTCTCCCTTTTCTAATGGATTCTGATAAAATCGCCTATTATGTGTACCAGAGAACACGTCTAACTCGAACTAATCGATAATACACGAAAAGAAAGATGATACTTCGAAGCACTGAAACATGCATTTCGACTGCACTCTGTCGCATGCAACTGTGTTCAAAGTGATTTTTTTCGTTATGTTTTCAGTTATAAAATTGTCGAGAATGAAGGTTCGCACTATTTCCTGTATATTTTTTTATTTTTACAGTATGTAGAAAAATGTTCGCTATGATTTTTGTAGAGAATGAAACAACGAACCTTTTACTAAAAAAGAAAGAGGAGAAAACCAGAAAATACGAAGCGACCGGTTTCTTCTGTTCCATTCATTACATTTGGAATTTTAGAACAATCATCTATATGCTTGATGATCTCGTAACAATACACACACTTTTCATTTCAGTTTGTCAACATGTCATCATTGAACAAAGTCAAAAAATCTATACCGAATGAAGCAGCCAAAAAACGGGATGAAGTAGCCAAAAAACCGAATGTCGTCAAAAAATCTGTGTCGAATGAAGTAGCCAAAGAACAGAATGTCGTCGAAGAATCCGTACCAAATGAAGTAGCCAAAGAACAGAATGTCGTCGAAGAATCTATACCAAATGAAGTAGCTAAAGAACAGAATGTCGTCGAAGAATCTATACCAAATGAAGTAGCCAAAGAACAGAATGTCGTCGAAGGCTCTATACCAAATGAAGCAGCCAAAGAACAGAATGTCGTCGAAGAATCTATATCGAATGAAGTAGCCCAGAAAGAGAATGTCGTTGAAGAATCTCAATTAGTTTCATTGATGACCGTCGAAAACAATAACACCAACAGCAAAAATGTCAATAACAAAAAAACGGAGAAATCATCTGATGATACAAGCATAGAAAAACATGTTGACGCTGAATTAGCGTCAAACAAAGAAAATGTTCGTGTCACAAACTCAAAAACGCAACGTAGTGTTTACTTCAAAGAGGAAGTGGATGATATTCGTCCACAACCGTCAAAAAACCTCGATGAATCGAGACATCGTTCAAAATATAATCGTCCAGTTGATTTTCTTGATGCTTTAGTAAATAGCTATAAAATCGAAACAACTATCCCAAGTACGAGTGGTAGTGAAAATAAAAAATATGTACCAAAAACGGTACGTACACGTTTAAATCCCAATTGGCGTGAGCATCGTACACGACGATTAATGAATAAATTAGAAGAATTAAGTTTATGGGATCGTGAAGAAGAATTGAAGTTTAAACAAGCCGAATGGTTACGTGAACAAAAATGGGAACAAATACAGGATCGTCAACGAAACCATGATTTATGTCTGACTTTAATGAAAGCAAGACATGAAAGTGAAATGGAAAGTGCAGTAACGTTAGACAATCGACAAAACGATGATTTTAATACAACAAATACAATATTGAACACATTACAATTATCTTCACTCAACAATGCAATAGATTACGATATACCTATGGCACCTCAATCATTGAAACGTCATGTTAAACAAAAATTACAGCAGGATGAGACGAATCAACTACAACCGCGAACACCAATCGGACGTTATCGTCAATTTGAATCAAATATGAAGCATAAAAGAGATAGGATAAATGAGAAGTTGAAACCCGATACGGAAATAATACGTGCTTATGGTCCTCAAGCTTATATTCCACCAGTACCCATGTTGTTTAGTGAAACATATAGTCGATTATTAGCTAGTCCATCATCTTATGAGTCACCTTCATTACCAACATCATTCTCCTCATATCGTTCAAAGTATTTACATGGAAATGAGCGATTTACGTCTCCCGATTATGAAACAAAATTGCGTTCATATTCAAAACGAGATGTACGCGTACCATTGAAAGATCTTGATACGGTTTATTCATCTTATCATGATCAAGATGATGATGATGATATTGATGATTATTATTCGTCATCTTATCGTACCGGTTTACAAAAGCACCGTTCACATTATAGTCCAACAAAATGCACAACAGCATCAGCACTCTACGATTGCTCAATGACAACACCGAGAAATTATGACGATAACTATTATCCACAAAAATCATATCATCATTCAACACTTGCTGGTGATTCATTATTGAAAACAAAAAACAGTCATAGCGGTATTCAAGAGAGAAGTTTGAATGACGATTTAAATGCTATTACACATTTTTCATTAGAAACAACAAAAAAAATCCTTCAAAACGTTGGTATTGGTAAAGATGATATACTCAATGGAGGTGGACAATTGAAATCTAAAAATTCTGCTACTAATAATGGGTATGGTAATAACCGAAAACATGTTACATTCAGTGAAGAACGGTCAGTTGTCTCCGATTATGATCATGATGATTACACATTGGGAAAACGAGATGGTGGAGATTCTAGAAGAAATTATTATTCGTCATCATCATCAAAATATCCTGAGATTATTTCATTAACATCAATGAAATAAAACGACAACTATGAGTTGTAACAGGTTCGAATTTTTTTGTTTCTATTGTTTTTTAAAACCCTCTGTGTAATATTTATTGTTTAACTATCACACATATTATTATTATTATTACCATCATCACTTTTTATTTTTAACGGTTGTATTTGGTCGATGAATAATCAGAGTTTGTATTGTGCACAACAAAAATAACACAAATATTAATCCTTTATAATCTATGTTTGCAGTGGGCCCACATTCATCAATAGAATAGAGTTCTTAATATAATTATAAAAAAATGATCAAATCTTGATAATTTATCTTGCTTCAAGACAATTTTCTTCCATACATGGAAAAATGGTCTTTGTACAGTTTAAGCAAGTGAATATCGAACAAAATTCAAATCATGAAAATATATTTTCTAGATAAATAAACTTTAATATTTACAAAACATTTACTTTTCAATCTTCTTTTATATATCATTTATGATATTCCTTGATGCAAAAATAATAACTGAAATATTCTAACCATTTCTGTATTTAAATTAAAACAGACTTGGTTTTTCTTTTTCCATTAAATAGAACACGATATATCTCATTTAGAAAATCATAAATTGAAAATTTTATATACATTCTCTATGAAATTAAACGAGTTTAACAAGTTTGAATTAAAAGTCACACTGACAGATTATAATCTTGATGTAGAAAACATATCATATAAATTATTTTACCGAGATGTCATCCCCAATTTTCAATTGAAAATTATATTGTTAGAATACTACTTCATCACCATTCTTAAACAACATATCTAGAGCATATTTTTTTTTGTACTTAACTCAATTCCTTTGTGATTAACACAATTTGGTGGAAAACCTCCTGTTTACTAGGCGAAATGATATTAATCAAGTTAATATATTCTCTTCGTATCTAGCGAAAAACTTTCATCATTCGAAATAAATTATGCTGTTTACATATAATATTGTTTACATTTATAAAACTGAATTAAACTTTCAATCTACAATCATAAAACAAAACAAAATAGAACAGAAACGTTTAAGAAGATTGTTTTATATTTTATATCTGTATCTATACCGGTTTAACGACATCTGATTTGTTTTGAGTGTTAAATGTAGAACATAAAAGCTATTTTATCTATCAAACAAGTGTTTTTGATATATTTTAAACAATTTTTGAACCAATTAGATTGCTACATTGAAAGAGAAATAAAATCGAACTCTCAATGATGCTAAACATTTTCAGTATAAACTCTTATTAATAATGGCAAATGGTATTTTTCTTCTAATGATATAATTAGTTAATTTCTCTTCTGCTTACTTCTCAATTCGATTTCTAATTAAACACTCCACACACATTCAACGTTAGATATTTCATATTCTAAGAAAAGAGTGAACATCTCTTGAGGGAGGGTGAGTATTTTAGCATGCAAATTTTAATCTACAATTCGTTGAGTTTTACCTGTAATAGTCATGAAAACACGAAAGAGAAGTGATATTTTCATGAATTTTTCAGAAAAGACATTCTCTAACATTGTAACTTGTCAACACTCTAAAAATTAAGTTTTTGTTTCACAATTAGTCTTCTTTTTTTTAGCGACATATAATATCATCTTCAATTTATCATCAAATTTTTCGTTTTTTATTTTTTGACCCATTTTAATAAGAAAAACACCTGAGTATGGCATAGTGATACACGCAAATTTTTACGAAAACAAATAAAATGTTCAGTCAATATTTTAAAACAATCGAAAAAAACAAACAAAAAAGGTTAATGACTACCGAAATATCTTGAAAAAGAATATGTACATAAGTGAAATAATGACTAGAACAATAACTCTTTTTTTAGGGTTTGCATATAATAATTTAACAAAAAAAAACATACGCGTTTAAAAAAATAGAAACAAAACCAGAAATATACACACACATACTGTTATGACAAATAGAAAGTGAAGACAATGTGCATTATCATTTTATCAATGAATAGTAATATATATAATTTTTTTGTTTGTTAGGAATGTTTGTTAGCTCTCTTTCTCTCTCTCTCTCTCGCTCTCTCTCTATCTTGTCGTTGTACGGATGATCACACAACAAACGTAGTATCTAGAAAAACAGACATGAAAAATTATGGATAACGCATTTTTTTTTGTCTTATCAAAGATAAAAACAAATTTTAGAAGAGTGACGATAGACAATTGTCCTTTTTTGTTATTATTGTATTCACAATCAACTCATCTTATCCACAACTGTTAAGCAGCCATAAAACAAATTCGAATGGACACTTAATGGTTGTGAAAAAGATATAATTGACTATTTTATCTTTTTTTTCTTTTTTTCTCAATAGTCATCAATCGACTTTATTCTTACCATATATATTTTATTCAACTATCTAATAATGAACATTGTGAATTTCTTCGACGTAATTGTTCGGTTGTTGAAATAACTAAAAATAAAAGATATTTTCTTTTTAAGAGTAAAACAAACATAGAAAAAAGAACTAGAGGGAAAATGTATGAACCACTTTACATAATGTTGAATTGTTATTTGTATTAATTATATCAAGCATTGAATTTGATAATGTTCGCGATAATGGACGAAGATTATTTCGTTTTGAATCAACAATTGAATGTATAACATTTGACGATATTGTTCCATTTAAATCTCCTCGTATTATCGGACTACATGATAAACGAAGTTTATCTAATTCAGATTGTATTCGAAGACTCTCCATTTCATCCATCTTAAAAAAATATATTTAAACTAATTATTGATATGTAATTATTTAGACTAATATATATATCTATACCTCCATAATAGCTTCTTTTAAATCTTCACAAAATTTTGCTCGATCATGTTCATTTCGAGCATTAAATGTTATTAAATTTGTTTGATTTGTATCTGGTTTTCGAACTAAACGTATTCCATGTTGATAATCTATTTTATAATAAACGAAAAAAATTCAATATTTTTATTATAATTATTTTATTAAAATATTTTTATCTTTTTTCTTTTTTGTCTTACATGGAGTTTCAAATAGATATAAATTCATGCCAGACAATCGAAAACTATTCCGAAATGTATATTGAATTTGATTACGCTTTTTATTCGATATTTTTGTTATCTAAAATTTAAATGATAAAATAACAAATAGAATCAAAATGTATATATTTATATATATATATTTACATACCACAAGTAAATCATTGAATAAAAATACTTCTCGTTGATGAGCTGTTAAACGTTCACGTTTAGTTAAATCATGAATTTCATAAAATCGACAATAGCATACAAGTCTTCGATGAGGTGCGACTAATGATGGTTTTTTTCCAATAAGTGTTTGTTCAAATTTTGCACACTGTGTCACATGATCACTGTCCGAACGAAATTCTTTTGCTTTAATACGTTCATAAATGTCTTTAAGATAGATGGGATCAAGATCTTCACCATCATCAATTCCTAAAAGTCAAATTCATTATAATATAGTTAAACAATGTTAAAAGAAAAATCGTCATAGAGAGGTAATGAATGTAGAATTATGCATGTCTATATCAGATCTATTATTGACAATACTCAATATCTAGATAAAATGAATGTTATATAATCAACTTTGAGATTAATCACTATCATTTATGAAAATATAAAGAATTTTTAAAAATAAAAATTTTATTTTTCAATATATTAGATAGAATAACTTTCGTACATATCACAACAACAACAAAAAATATTTTCTATTACCTGTTTATCATTCATAATTTTAGTCTCAATCAAACTAAAAATGTAGTGTTTCGTATATATATAATTTAGTGACTATATATACTCATATATACAAATATAAAATAAGAATAAGAATCGTTTTAGAAGAGAGTAAAATACAAAAGAATATTTTCTTAATTTTCTAACATTTATAGTTCTACAGTAATAATAATAATAATAATAACTAACATCAACGGGGTTTTCTTCCTTCTTCTATTAATAACCATCGATGATTTTCTTTGAGTTTTCTCTCTCTTTCTCTCTCTCTCTCCCCCTCTCTCTCTCTCTCTCTCTCTCTGTTATTCTGAGACATAGAAAAAGAAAATCCCCAATAGTCCAGCTTGAACATTTTCTCGTTTCCGTTTTTCGAGCCGATTTCAATAGACATTTTAATTGAATGATCGATTTTGGTTTTCTTCTTCTTCTTTCTGTCTATCGTCCTTATTCTAGCTTAAAATATGAAGAGAGAAAAAGTAATTGGACGCTCTCTGTCATTTTTCATTTTATTCGAGAATATATTTTCCCTTCTTTCTCTCGATATAGCTTTTCCTATTTTCCATTTATTGCTGCTATATAGACGTAATCACAAATAATCATTTTTTTCCTATTTCTCATCATAATACTATTATTGACATGGTTATTGTATGATTTCCTTACAATCACATTCGATTTTAACTATATAGAAAAAAAAAAAGAAAGATTTTTTTTTTTTTTGAGTTTTTTCATATGTAAGTTAAAGTAAAAAAACTAAAAGAAAATTTTTTTCCGACAGATAGATACATTGTGTTACTATATGAAATAAAAAAAAAAAAAAAACGAGTTCATTATACATAATATTTTATTCAAAAGTTTTACTTAGATAATTTCATTTATTATGATGTAATATTTAACAAAAAGTACAGACTACTTTAAATTGAAAGTTTTCCTTTTAATAGACGTATTGATATTCTTCTAATTTTAGTGAAGTAAAAACGTTTCAAAAATGTTAATTTGACTAAAGTATAACGATGAGTACTTATGAATAAAAAAAAAAAAGAAGAAGAGATCTACTTTGAAAATCAAAAGATATATCTTAAATCTGTCGGTATAGTCTTTTTACCTATAAAAATATGTACGGGTCAGAGATTCATTGACAAATGTCAAACGTTTTTTCCTTATAAACTTATTTTAGTTTTAACGAAAAACGTCATTTTTTATATTTTCTAATTGAAACTGGATCGATGAAAAAAAAACAAGAAAAAGAAAAAGAAATGAAATAGTGATTCAAATTCGTCTTAAGTATGATAAAATATGTTTCCTGTACAAAAAAAAAGAGGAAATAGATACATACATGTGTTAAGAGGAGAAGATCGATTACTATATACTATTATTCTAGTAGAATTATAAAACTCTCTACTATTTTTAAAATTTGTTGGGTTTTTTTTTGTTTTTTGTTAACTAAAATGGAAACATACACATAGCAATGTATGATTTGATTGGATTTTCTTCGTCAGTTACTCTATTAATCAACAGAAGAGGGGAAAAGAAGAAGAAGAAGAAAAAAATTTACATTTATCTTTGTTCAACAAAAGAAAAATGACGGCTTTGATTTAGTTATAGTTTATCATATTTACTATCCAAATTGCTTTGATTAAAAAATTGCGTTGAAACTAAATATCAGTTAGATTTTTTCTTTATTTAACTAACATACACACACACACACACACACACATACACATACACACAAAGAAATAATAACGAAGAACACAAACAAACAAAAAAAAGAGCCAGCAACATGTGACTATACGTATACCTAGTTCAATCTTCTATTTCGGAAATGGGCTCAAAAATATTATTCAAACAATAAAATACGATGTAAGAAATTAAATATGACGTTAAAATTGTCAGTTATGATAGAATTCTTACAAATGATTTGAGATTACTTTACATGTTGAGATATAACAACGATGTCAGTTTCGATAGAAGAATAAACAAGATTTTCTATTCTCACTTTTTTAAGTTGAAATGTGAATAAAAATATCTCTAACTAGTTTAAAAAATGACTTACATATGTTTCCATTTTTCGACTAATTCTTTTTTTAAAAATCCGTACTTTCATATTTTTTTTTATTCTTCTTTTAAAGAATAATAGAACTATGCACATTCTAAATAAATGAATCAACCTCGATATAAAACACACGAATGAGTTTTTTTTTAAATAGAAAATTTTAACTATCTTGTCTTGTTTAAAAAAAATAAAAATAAACCTGCTTTTCGTTCGGCTATATTGTCTATCTATTTTTCTATATTTTTTTTTTCTTCTCTATGTATGTTAATCTAGGATAAGAAGGAAAAAGAAAATGACAAGGATACAACACTGATGTGAATTATTTCCATAACTAATGAAACCGGAATGAAGTGTGGTTGACATTTTGGTTAAAAGATCGTGTTTTACTCAAATTCTTATTTTCTTCTTTACTGTGATACTATTATAACAGTATTTATCATCAACATCAGCTGTAGTAGTAGTAGTAGCAGCAGCAGCAGCATTATCATCATCATCATCATCATCATCATCATTATACTATTACTAAAAGATGAATATCATATATAGAAAAGAAAATGGTTCGTATATCATAGCGGCAATGATTCGTTTTTAGATAGATAGATAGATATTATATCAGATTTCCGTTCAAAAGCAAGGATTTGTCTCTATTGTATACTTGTCAACATTAGTGTCGAAATCATTTTTGTAGAGTAAAAAAAAAAAAAAGGAAAAAAAGGAAAATATAATCGAAATAAAAAAAAAAAGAACTTCTTCTACTTAAAGAATTGACACGATGGTATGAAATCAAATTTCTTTTTTAGAATAGACATGTATATATATATATATAAAAGAAACGGAAAAATATTTGATGAAAACTATAATAATCATGTCAAAGTTTTATCTTGTTATTATATAGCATTTATAAAGCATAAAGGAAAGGATTTCACAAAGATAAAAGTTACCCACTATCATTGCGCGTATATCTTATTTATAGTTGACTGTCATTATTTTCTTCTTGTGTATGTTTTTTTTTTTTTTTTTCGATAGAAGATCTAATAAACTCACAAAGGATTCGATTTACATTTATCTAATCTATATTTGACAGAAAATTTGCTCTTCGTTAAGACGCGTCATTTATGTTTCAATTATCTTTATTATTTTTAAAATTAAATTTAGTAAATACGACAATGGGAAAAAAAAAACGTTTCTTTTTATGTTTTTTTACAAAAAGGACCATCACCACATTCAATGAAAAGTTTGAAATTTTTTTATTGTCATTGAAAAACTATATACTATTGAATAAATAGAGTAATTACGTACGAAACATTTTTTCCTCGATTAAATTCAGATATCTTCATTATAGATGTCCAACATCTTCTCTTAATGGTAGAATTTTCTTTATTTAAGTACACTTTTTTTGTTTTGTTTCGTTTGAAGATATAGCAAAAAATAAAAGGGTTAAAACTTATTCGAAAGATAAAAACCAAAGTATTGAGTTTAACAGTACAATACAATAGATTTTTGGCAAATGAACATTATTCTTTAACAATGAGAGAGAGAGAGAGAGACAGACATTTTCATTGATTTTTTTTTGAATAATAATTTGTTGTTGTTTCCTAATCGCTTTTGAAAGATTAGAATCTTGTCTTTATTGTAGATAACTTAACACAGCAACATTTTGTTCTGTATCAAAATTGATTCCACTTAATTAGACATCATCATACATAGATATAGACATATGTGTAGGAGAAAATGGATACTAACTCGGTTCTATTTTTTCTACCGAACCTACTTACTTATCTGCCAGTAATTGTTTATAACAGAGAAAAGTGATGGTGTCGCACAAAAAGAAGTAATTTTTTTTCTTCTTCTTCTTCTTTTCCTTCTCGCTTGTTGTTTAACATTTTTTGCATCATTGCAGATGGTCAATTTATCTATATGTATATATACACTCAAAAACAAAAAAAAAACAACAACAAAAAAAAAATAGATTGCAGTTGCTTATGCAATATGAAAATAGATTTAGATAAAGAAATCGGATATTCTAAATAGTATAGAAATACAATTCAACTTGTTGATCTATTTGGCTTAAATTATCTATGCATAACTTATTTGTATGTAATTAGAGCTAAAAAAAAGAAAAATATTCTAGAAGTACAGTCAAACGAGAAGTTTATGTCTAATTATCGTGTTGGTATAACTCAAATTATGTTCAATATTAAAAGGCTCACCTTAAAAAAAAAATCTATATTATAGCAGAACATTCATCTTACACGAAATTAATATGACATGCAAACAAAAAAAAGAAAGAAGTTGAGAAAAAGAAGGAAAAAAAATAATATATATATATATGTATATGCACAAAAAAGCTAAAATATTCTTTCTTTACTCTAGTCAGGAAATGCGAAAAGAAAAAGCTGGTGTGCATTCTTGCTGTTGTAATCTCTTGTGCTGATAATGTATTACTAGAAAAAACGTGACAAATTGGCAATCAGTGTCTAATAGCCTGAAGTGGTGTATAAAATATTCATTATTCTGTTCGTTATGTTTGATGGTACATCTCTCTTTTTCTCTCTCTCTCTATAAATATATATATACAAAGTAAAATCAAGAAAAGCAGATGAAAACCAATTTAGAAAGAACAAATAAGAAAAAAGGAAATTTTTTTTTTTATATATTAAGTCTGATCTTTGTTTTGTTGTTTCTTATTTCCGTGATTTATCATTAATTAGGCAAATCAAGATGCTAAATTTAAGCATAGAATATTCTGCTGATATAACATTGATGAATTAATTTAGTCTTAAAGTAAAACGAAACTTGGGAATCCAATAAAAATAAATGAAACGTAAAATTTAAAGAAAATTATTTTTAAATAAGAATTCAAACAAGATGAAAAAATAAATAAATGAGAAAAAAAACAACATTATCTTCGTCTTTGAACAGACTATAGTAACTAATGTATAAAATAGAATGATGATGGAATAGCGTAACGTGAATGTAAATTATCTAAGATTATAGATGATTGATATTTTCTACATATTCAAAAGTGCTATACGTTATTGATACACAATTTCGTTTTCCTTGATTATATTATGTTCTATTCTATCCATTATAACTCGTATATAATTTACATGAATTATTATTTTCTTATTCTTTTTACGCTATATGTGTTACATAATTTTTTCTCAATGTGTCAAATATGGCATAAGTCAACAGAATTGGAGTTAAATGTACTTTATTTGTTGTTACTATATATATAGAGAGAGAATTTATTCTAATCTATAGGACATCAGTGGAAATATTTTACAACAATAATCATTGTCTAATTACCTTTTAAATTTCTAATAAATTGTTCTAATTTCATTTTTTTATCAGATTTAATATTTCTACTATGTAAATCAGTATTCAACATAATAATGGCAAATGCAAGAATAAATATTGTATCTGGACTACGAAATTGTGTATTTGATAAAGTTGTTTGATAATAACGTTGACCAAATACCTAAAACAAACAACATTATTAAATACATATCATTTACACTTAGACTAAATAAGAATGTATGAGACACTTATTTTTTCATATATGTAGAAGAAGTACTAATGAAAATATTCATTTGTAATTATGAGTGAACAATATTAAATTCGATATTTCGATGAAGAGTTAATAATTCAAAATAAGAAGTCTATTTCAATGCAAACAAATTTTCTAACTCAGATACAATAGTTGTTTCCGAAAAAGTTCATTAAGATAGATTTTTCATTATCCAATTCTGTTCCAATATATATATATATATATATATATGTATGCAAGTGTTTCGCTTGAACGTGAAAGACAATTCTCTTATTAAAAAGCAGAGTTTATGTGTTCCATTCAAGTATCTTTTGACATATAACTACGATGATCTTGAAACACCTTATTAAACACTTGAAACTTGACGGCGACAACTGTGTTTGAGATTTCTTCTTTTTTTCTATATTTTATAAGTATATGATTTCGACAGAAAATAAATGAGATATTCAAATCTATGGAAAATAATTGTCTTCATACAATAGGCATATATATATATTTTTTTGATTATATCATTTTACATAGAAATCTTTCAGCTAAAAAAAACTGAAAGTTTTAAAACTCGGTTTTTGATAATGAATTCCCATATGCAATGTAATATCAACAGTAACTGAATTTAGTTGGGCGAATATTAAAACTTTATTATATCGAAAAGTAAGCAGTGACTGACTATATGGAGTTATGATATCTATTAAAATACACTAAGTAGTGAGATAGTTTTAAAACTAACGGCTTTACTGACCTTCATCAGTTGTTCAATTTTTTGTGCTTCACCCTAAAATAAAATTAAAAAAATCTTTAAAATGAAATATTTTTAATACCATATCAACATTGACACATGCCATAATAATTAACTATGTACATACAGGTAATCGAAACGACGATTGAAATTTGCGTAGTGCCATATCTATAGGTTGATCTTGAAAGTCCATTTCAGCAGCAAAAGCACTTAAAAGAAAATTTTCGAGTCATATACAATAATAAGGTAGAGATTTTAATAATACTTACTGTAAAACTTGCATAGCAAAATGATCTTGTAAATTGCCCAAATATTCTCCAATCATTTGACGACTAAGACCTTTTCGTGTTAACAGAAATCGTGCAACAGCTTGAGGATTTGGTTCAAGGAAATGATTGTTAATTAAATACAGAATACCACGCTCAGGTTTTCTAAAAACAAAGTTTCAGAGAAAAACAGTAAAACTATGTTTTCCTAGAGCTGAAAATATAGTGTACATCCCAGAAAAAACCTATTTTCTTCAGAAACGATCACCAGATAGATTAGCACAAAAATTGAACAAGCAAAAAATAAAAATCCACAAAATTTAGACTACAACTTTTTTCTTCTGATCTCGTAAAAATTAAACGAACTATGAAACTCTATTGTTTCTTTTGAATCTCTTAGGTATCTAAACCTAAATTTTGCAACTGTCGTCCCATAAGAGAAATATTTGGTACGAGACAACCCATTCTGGTTCATGAATTAACTATATCTCTTAAATATTCAGACTTTCAGGCTTAAACATTTCCCAAAACATGTTCACACTATGTCTTTAATCAGTAAAATTTTTGTCCGAATTGAATATACGGCGTAAAAAAATGTTTTCAGAGGTTCTCTAGTAATTTAAACATAACTGACTGGTCTATTCATCAAGACAAGACGCAAAACCTCTAAATTGAGAAGTAGATTAATTTATTTCTGAGTGAATGCGACATCTGGCATTACATTGAAATTAAAGACAAGATATGAACTCCTGCAGAGAACGAATCAAGCAATGGATAAAAATACGACATCTAGATATTAATTAAAAGCTGAAAGAACTTGATTCGACTTACTTATTGAAAACATTTAAACCTGCTCTGTAACATCTTCTTCGGTATGTTTCATTTGCTTTAATCGCAAGTATTCTTTCCTGCCCTTCTAATACAGGATCAATGGGAAGATTCCGTGTTTCAGTCCCGTTGTGATTCATTTGCACAGATTTTGTTGAAATTTGTTGAATGGATGATGGTTGTGATTCTAGACTGGTTGCTGAATTTCGATGCGAATAAGATGAATTAGAGTAACTATCGTTTGTACTGCTGTTCGATTGCAAGCTCATATTATCACGATCGGAACTGGTTGTTGATGATTGACTAAATGGGGTTATCGATAAACTGGGACTTTCTAAAAGATCACTACTGTCACTCGTTTCAGATAGATTACTTAAACGACCATTGTCAACGTCTAATGTTACTTTGCGTTTCCATATAGGCGACGCGACACATGGCGAAAATGACGGCCTTGTCATTTTTGTGCCATTTGGATTTTTAACAGTAGATATTTTTGTTGTACTATTTCTCATAGGTGGCTGAGGTTTAGTCTCCACCCGTGAAGAAAATTTTCGACATTCCAAAGGTGAACTAGTTAAATCTTTATAAAAATTGTAGTGAGATGTGTTTTTGCACCAATCGATTGATGATGGCATTTGTCTTTTGGATGCATCCTCTGTAGCTGATTCAACTAGCACAATTGATGATAATTGTTCATCAACAAAATCACTATCATTTTGTTCTTTTCCAAATATTAGTCTTGTTTTTGATGACAGTGCACGTAACCGAACACTATTTTCAACATCTTCATTATTTGCTTCTTTTTTAATCAATGCTTCGAGCATATTCCTGTCGTTTTCCGTCACGATAAGAACACGTTTGGTTGGTTTACGTGATGATTTGTCATGCTGGTGCTCTAGCTGTTGTTGTGGTTTTTCATTTGTTTCAATAAAATGTTCAAAATTGATACTTGGTAAATCAATTTTTTTATCAATAAAATGTTCGTTTGTCGGCGTGTTGGACGAAGATGATGATGAGCTATCGTTCCCTTTTTCGTTGTGTATTGGTGTTGTTGTATCTGACTTTCTCATTCGAAGACATGGTTTTAATGCTGGTGGGGTCGGTATCTTCTCTTGATAAAATGAACATAGCGGATGTTGTTGTTCGGAAAATGTACGCGATATACGTTTATTTGCTTTGGCTGTTTCACATATAAGACGAAAATTTTTTTCCAATTTATATTGTCGAAATGCACGTTGAATGACTGATGCAGCTCGTTTTGTACGCAAAACACCACCATATTTTCTTTGGAGCATTTCAATTTGCTTATCCTGAAGATCTTGCGAAAGTTCATAGTGCGACTTCGATGAGAAAGATATCGGATTTTTCTTCATTGTTGCGGTTGTAAGACCTAGACTATTTAATGCAGTTTTATCGAAATGTACCATTGAGTGCTTTTGAGGAGAATGATGATGGTGTAATTTTAACGCTTGCGATTGTTTCTGTAATGAATCGGTGCACAGAGATTTTTGTTTCGGCATATGCGTTAACGTTGATGATGTTAACGAGCATTCACTCGGTGGGGTAATCATTTTTTGAAACCCATTTGTTAAACTATAAAACGAAAAAGAAACATAAATTTTTTACATGTAGATTTTTCAAAACACCGAATGTATTTGCTGATTAACTAGTTTAGGTTTGAAAGTGTGATTAATATATAAAAAAGAGTTTTTGTTTTGATTTCTCATGGATCGCCCCAAGGTGCCAAACATAAAGAAAAGAGCTTTTATCATCCCATCATGCTCAGAACATTAATATAACATTTTTTATACAGTTTAAACCGTAGCAGTTAAATATCGATACAGTTATTTCTACAGTATTCAAGTACAAGGTGTTAATAATAAAAAGCGTAATCGAAAAGGACTAAAACTCAGTCAGTTTTTTAATACATTGAAACCCTTCCAGAACATTCTAGGAGAACGTCACCACACGGAACCTCTAAGAGTTTAAGAGAGTTTTGGAAAAGGTTTCTTCTAAGGTTTGTCGGTCAATTTTATGTTCTATCCGTGATGTTAAAAGGTACAATGGAAGTGACAAAAAAGTTAAATAAATACTCTCTCACGAGGTCACACTATAAATTAGAAAAAAGAGAAATTGGCTTTAAACAATGGAGTTATGAAACGAAAAAATCAACTATTAACAAATATCTACATCTTATGAAAAAAGATATTTATGAAGTGCACGTCTGAAGGCTCGTATGAGAAAGGTAGTTTATTCTACTCTGCTATAGTTTTTGGAAGGAATGATGAATTTGTAGTTTTTCTTTTAAATTTTGGTACCTCCTAAAGGCGGCGATTTGACGTTCTGGTCGAAGTTTGAGTAGCCAACGGCTTTACTAAAGAAAAGGAGAGAGAGCACTGCGTCCAGTAATAATTTTATGGAAAAACATTAATCTGTAGTATTTATATCAAGCGACTAAATCAGGTAGTTTTAGTTCTTTTATACGACAATAGCTACTAGAACAATAATCGTTAGTAATCATATGTTACGTGCAGCAAGTTTATGAACAGATGTTAGTAATTCGAGGTGTGCTTTAAAGTCGTTATCAAAAACTATACTGCAATAATCAAGAACAGGCAATACACACGTTTTATAGATGGAAAATCGTATAAATTGTGGTGCGCATTGTCTGCATCTTTTAGCTACTTTTTCCAAATGGTACTTCCAGGTTAAATCAGATGATAGATACACGCCTAATAGTTTTGGCTATCTGATTTAATAATTCATCGAACTCTAATTCTGATTGTTAAACTAAACTTTGTTACACTAACAAATATATTTCACAACCGCTTATTTAATTACAGAAAAGCCCAAGCTCAGAAAACTTGGACTGATCCTTATTGCGCGTGAATCATCACCGTATTTTGTTGACCTATGACGTATATATTCTCAACAGGAGAGTTGAGAGAAAAGTTACAGAAAGACAATCTCGAGAACTGCGCGCATAGTAGAGCCAGTCTAAGTTTTCAAAACTAACGAGGGAAGTTACCCAGGTGTTTAAAGCCTTTAGGTCCCATCTTTTGGCGATAGGTAGACCTCAATGAGATATGAAAAACCTCAGGAGGATTTATCCCCTCGTGTCTTTATTCCCGAGATATCCAATTCATTGATTTCATTGAATTCATTTTCCTTGAGCCACTCTTGTGCGGACTTTTGCAGTGTATAATGAAATCAGATGTGAAATGAAGAGTTCTGGATGTTCTGTGACCCGATGAACAGCCCTTAGAAGTGGTACTGATGAGATATGACCTAGCACTAAATCCAGAATAGGCAGTACGAGCAATGCGTGAAGCTTTGAAAATTTTCCACCTGAGTACTGTACTGCTCTCTAAGAACGATCATTTTCCACTTCGATCCCGTTTCGTATGTATCTTGAGAATTGGATATCTCAGGAATAAAGGCACGAGGGGATAAATCCTCTTGAGGTTTTTCATATCTCATTGAGGTCTACCTATCGCCAAAAGATGGGACCTAAAGGCTTTAAACACCTGGGGAACTTCCCTCGTAAGCCTGGAAAACTTTGCACACAAGCCTTAAAGGCTTGAGCTTTCTGTAATTAAAAATTTTTTCTATTAAAAGTTCTTGAATAAAGTAAGAGAGTAAAGAGTTCAGAGGATTACCTTGAGAATATTATTCCTTTCTTTTATATTATATTGATACAACAATATAGATTAAGAGAATAGCCATAAGTCAAAATGAACATTTGAAAATGACATACAAATGTCATTTTGAATTACATATTCTCGGTCATAACCTTTACTCAACCTGCATGTCTGTACAACATATTTACAGACTTGAAAATGTTAACTATTTTGTCGAACTTGTATGAGAAAATATACATACGATAAAAACAATTGAGCTAATTTCATGATTAATACTTATTAAAATTAATCTACCGTCAAAAATTAATTATTTTCGCTCATATTCTCTTTTTGTTCTTTTCCATTCAGTCAATAGTTAATAAGTGTGCTCATAATAGACGTAGTCAACTATATTAAATCGAACACATTGTTCCACTTTTACTCTATGGTACTAGTAGAAAACAAAAAAGAAACTGACAGCTCTTTTTTTCTCTATTTTATCATTTTGCTCAAACTCCGATAAAATATCGTTATCCAAATTTTTTTCTCAGCTACTTTTCATCATTATTATCATCATGGATGAACCTGAAATATAACATAGTATTGTTGTTACTACTGTTTTTGTTTGTTCATGATGATTGTAATTATCAACAACAGCACATCGTATAGAAAAATCGACAAAAGAAAAAAAGAAGAAGAGATGAGCAATATTTTTCAGTGTTTATAGATATTCTTCAAGATTTTTATGCCCTATTAATAACAAAGAAATACATGTGTTAATAGACGTGCCTTATGTCTTAGTTTTGAACATAGTCATTCTGCTAAATAAACAAAGATATAGACATAATTTGAAGAGGTTTTTTTATTAAGAAAAAGATGTAACATCGTCTGAAGTAATAATCGACATTTATTTACTAAGTAAACTTAGTTGTCTCTTGCACGATACCTATCTACAAATTTCTAACAAATGGTCTAAATTATAAAGATGTAATTGATAGTTTTTGAATAATAGCAGTATGTGAAAAGTGTAAAAGTTCAAGATCAAAATGAAATAAATCTAATGCGAACTGTTTTCAAAACTTTCTAAGAATCGATGATTATTCAACAACTTCATATTATATAATAAAGTAAAGCTCACTTTCATGACATAAAGTATACGACCGTCGCGTCATATAAGGGTTAAGCTTTTACTTCCTATGGCAAACGGAAAATACTGTATGAGTACAAGAACACGTCAACCGTAAGAAGTTCATAATGGCTAATAATGTCAGTACATTTATACATTATTCTTGATTAATAATAAAATTTAGAATTCGGAAACGAACTTTAGTTAATATAAAAATTTTCTCATCAAACTTTCTTATCTTTTACGTTTATATCTTTATAAGTTCTGTTTCTAATGATATTATTAATATAACATTTATTACGATTTGAACTGAATGTACATATTAGACAGATACTATATACGATTATGTAATCAAAAAAAAACAGGTCATTCTCCATGTCATGTAAGAATCATTCACACAATCTGATATGAGTTTTATATTAATCACACGTTTCATGCTGTCCGGCATCTTTTGTTCGTGATGATATTAGAAATCAAAAGAAAGATCAATAAGAATTAGTATTGGGGATAAGATTAGTAGCAAGAATTTGAGATTCTAATAAACGTTGTACAAAATTGAAGAATACTGTATGTTCTAAATAAAACTGTTAAACCAAATCTTACTTTTCTTCTCCTTCTTCTCCGTTTTGATTTGATTTGCTTTTACTATTACTATTGTTATTATGTGAATGTTGAGTGTTGAATAATGCCGCAAAATAATCACGTTCTTGCTGAATTTTATTCATTTGTAATTGTAATTTATTTATTTCATCTTGTTGTTTTTTTATTATACTATCTTTTTCTTCCATTAATGTTTTTGTACTTGGTGGTGGACAATCAAGACGTTTCGAAAGAAATTGATCCATCACTATGACAAGTTTTAAAATATTAAATAGGAAGATATATACGAGATTGTTTTAAAATAATATATCCATAATCATATCTCAATGTGTCTTACACCATTGAGTAAATTTCTAGAAAAAAAAAGACATACGAATTTATGAGTAGTTTGAAGAAACCATTGTGTACTACGTTAGTTTTCCAAAGTAAATTAGAAGACAATTCTGACATACGATAAAGACTATATTTTATGTCGAAGAAACAAGTAATCAATTTTATCTCGTGGATATGACTTCCCTGGCGATTTTCAAATTAATTTAGCATCGAAATTTAATGCTTCATTTCGTATACGTGAAAGAGTAAGACGATTATCATTAATTAATAAGTAAAATTAGTGTATGACATCACTATCCGTCTTAGTTACACAATTAAATGAAAATAGTGTTCAAAAATGTCTGATGAAAACTATTAACAACGATAGAAAAAAAAAATATTTTGAGATGGATGTATCTACTATGGTTATTTACTAGAGCGATTGCAGATGTGCATACAAACAACGTTTTTTCATACAAAGACGATCCCGGCAGCCTGATAGAATAGCGTGTGGTTGTGTGCAATAAAGAAATGGAAAAGAGAACAGAAGAAAAAACGTGCAACCATGAAACAATGTCTATCCTTTTTTAAGAATTTTTTTTTTTGTATAGTACTCTCTATTGATTCAATGTAGCAATTAGAGTTTCATCACGAAAAAGACAACGGTCACATGAGAAAAGAACAGATTTTTTCTTCTTTTTTTTTTCAAGAATATATAGGGTACAAAAAAAAAGAATAACATTGTTCTTCAGAAAAAAAGAAATTTTTTTCAACTGGCATTGAACATAGTCACCTTTCAGTTGAACGGTTAACCCTCATTCAAATCATTATCTAATCACATAAAGATAATTTGTTCTGCATCTATAAAAGAAATCAATGTCTAACTGAATATCAACATATTGTCAATGGTTCTATATTACGATATTTCCATTTTCTTTTCTTTTTTTTCTTTTCACTTTTATTCCGCCAAAGTCAATCAGGCTATAGTCTCAAGAGATAAATAGTACTTCATTTTCATTGTCATTAGATGAAGGTCATAATAATTTGTTCGGTTCTATCGTTTTTGTGCGCGCGCTAAAACAGATCTTTCAAATTATTATCTATCGTTGATTTTATGTTATCAAAAACGATTATGTATAAAGAGGAAAGAGTTTTATTTAGCATAGTATCGAGAATTATTCCAATCCATACGTTTGAATGTGTTCAAGTGATATTTAGCATGATAAAGATTAGTGATGCTGTTAAGATAGTAAAGGATAAAAGATAGTATAGCTGAAGGCGATCTTACTTCCGCGGTAAGTGATTTAGACGTAGACTGAAATCGAAGATCGATACTAAATTTGACTAGTACGATTAATTAATATTTATTTAGAAATACTCAATTGATTTTCATATTTTGGAAGAAAGTTATCGTTTACAATTTTGATTATGTATCGCTTATAGGTGTATTTGCAAGTAATCAATCGATAACAGCATCTTTTCTTTGCTTTCTTTCTCACTCACTTAACTGCATATACGCTTAACGATCGTTTGCCAACATCTTCTCGTTCTTTTTTCACTTGTCTATACTATCTTTTTTTGTGATCTCAAAGGCGATGAACAACTGTTCTGTAATAAGACTAGAGGGAGAGACTGCAATTCGTACCTTCTTAAACATAGAGACTCATAAAGGTACACATATTCAGATAACAATACGTCAAAATGAGTACATACTAATATTATACATGTATTTTTTTCAATGCTATGGATACTATATTCAAGCACGAAGATGCCAATGAGTCATTAAGATGGAAATTTAGAAGAATGGAAGTTTAGAGAACAGATTGCATTTAGACACAGAAATCTCCAAATAATTGACAGACTGGCTAATTTTTGAACGTTACACTCGTCGATTAATAAACAATAGTCAATTCATATCTTACAGAAAAATACGATTTATTAAATAGAAGAGAAACATGAAATTCCTTGAAATGTAAAAAACCATACTCCAGACATCACTACAGAGGAAGATATGAGTTGGTTCATCAACATGGTCTATTATGAACAAATGAGCTGATCGGTGTTTTTCATGAAATTGGATTTTTGAATAAAAACCCTGACTCATTCACTATTTTTGCTGAAAATTATATTATTTTCGTAAAAATACAATATTATATTTACTATGTGAAAATCTTTACAAATAGATACGATTGAATAAAAAGTTATTTATCTTCTATGGTTTCTCGATTAAGCTTTTCTTTGATAAAATGCAATATGACAGACGATAATGTTCAATCAGCAAAGATTTTACTCTAGATATGCAAAAATCTATTATCTATTTATTACCCATCCGCGAAGGTAAAGTGACAAAAATTCAAGCAGGAAAATGCGACTTTTTTATGTGATGGTGCACTCATTATCTTTCTCTTATCCTTGTGTAACTTTTTAGGTATCAAACATTACTTTTTTCAATTCAAAAATTCATCCTGTATTTTATTTTCCATAATATTTGTATGATATACAAATAAATATTCACTTGAACGTGCAAAGAGTTTGCACTCTAAACTTACTGAAAAAGAAGATGTTTCAAGCAAAAAGAAACAACCAATCCATATAGTTTTTTAGTTGTTTAACAACTTCATCGTTCAAAGATGGCCGCAGGCTAATTTTTTTGAAATCAACGGAAAAAACTTTTTCTCTAAGTAATCAATTATTCATTGATTATAAAACTTCAACCGATCGACATTAGAATATCGCTATTAAAAAACTTTTTCTCTATAAAAATGGCGCTAAAAACTACAGTTTTATAGTCACGAACAATATAAATTTAAGCTGTCATATGCTCACTAAAAATTGGTCTTTAATCTCTTTAACGAGAGATTAATTTTCTACAACTAGTCAAATTTTTACTTGATTGTCTTTGAAAGATCACAATAATTCTACATCAATCTGAATTTCAACTTTTGACTCGAATAATAGTCATCACTCGTTTTCATGTTTATACGTTACTTACGACACTGTTGGTCATCTCACTAAACAGTTGATTCATGATTGAAAATGAGCGTCATGATATGAGAATAATGATTATTATAAGCGTTATCAATTCGACTACCAGAATTTTCTCATTTTTTTTCTCCTAATGTTCAACACTATTATATGTATAAATTATATGTATGTTTTTTTCCTCTATTCTGTGCTTATAATGTGTGGAAAAGTGATATACAGTCTTCAGTTATTACTACAGAAGAAGAATCGAAGAAAAAGAGACATATTTAAGAACGATAATAAGAATATGGCACTGTACTGCACGCGTCTCTCTTTCTCTCTCTAATGAATAATCACAAAAAAGCGAGTATAACCCTTGTCCGGTTTTGGTCAATTTTTTTTGTACGAGAAAAGAAAAAAATTAAAAGAGCAGATGGAATGGAATGAGTGATGTCAACTCAACTCATGTACTCATAGTTGTTTTACGCTAATATATGAACAAAAAAAAAGGAAAAAAACAAACGACATAAAGTTAAAAGGACATGAATAACAGCCGAGCGATCAAATAAAATAGAAGAAGGCAAAATAAGGATATTACATCTGATATTATGGCATTTAAAAAGTGTAACAACAAGAAGAAAGAATTTTACGTCTTTATAAATATGTTATGGTAAAAATTGAAATTCCAGTAATGACACATCAATCTTTCAATCTCTGACGGTGAAAATTAAAATGCATATGTAAGCACATGAGTTTTCAAAATTTATAGAGAAAATTGCTGTTTAATAAGCATTAGAGCTGAAAGGCATTTTTAGACGTGAGAGTAACGATAAAAAAACAACATTGCTGCAAAAGCCTTTGCATTATGATACGTTTAGCTGTGCTTAACGCCGTTGCTTGTCATATGTTTTCAAAACAGTGAAGTTCTCCCATTATCACGTTTAGAAATATCCTCCAGCTGTTATAATCTTATTGTGATGTATTTTAAACTGGAATTTCCTTTGTAAATTATAAAAGCTTTCCAGATGTGTACGCTCTAACACATAAATCGATATGAATGCCATAATCTTTCCGAAGAGTGAAACTTGTACATGACAATAACGAGACGGAAAATCTAATCCATTCTGACAGAGTAATGCTATCAACATGATGCAGAAAGATAGTAAAGTGCGTAACAAGTAACGTAACAAGTAAGTAACATTTATTTTGTATGAATTACAGTTAGAAAATTTTTACAAAGACAACCAGAAAACTCGTAAAGAACTTCTGTTTATATTCAAAAAACAGATAGTGGTAAAAACCAATGTTACATATAGAAGTATGCACACACAGGTCATATTAAAAAGCAGATGCCAAGTAAACCAAATTAAAAGCTGAAAAAGTTTTCCATTTGCTGTACAAATATTTATTAGCTCTATAGTGTGGCGCAAAAAAAATTTATATTTATATTTTCTTTATGTAATGTTTATTTCTGTTTTTTCTATATGATCTGGTTGAATTTATGTCCGAAGAAATCTTACTTAAGGGCCTCCCCCGCCCTCAGAAATTATCTCCGACACCGTACATCCGATCTTGACGAAACTTTCCATAAATGTTTGGCCTAATGAGTTACGGAAATGAAAAAAGTTTTTTGTCTCCAAGTCTTACCGTTCAGGAGTTTTCTAGACATCAAGGTCCAAAAAGGACCCTGAAGTGTTTCCCAAGATTTTTTAATATACTTCAAGCTGGGGAGTTCGG